ATGTTTTCTTACTGCATAGAATATAGTCAAGCACTATTGCAATTAAATATTTTACCCTTTGTTCTCCCTGCATGATATACAATAAAAATCTACTTCATGTTGATATTTACTGCTGTGTTACTGACAGTTACCTGAAAGAGAAGTTGGGGTGCTTCACTGGGCTGGAAAAAGTTTAGCTAAATCAGAAAGCAGGTCTAATTAAGCAAGTTTATTTCTATATATAAAACTCTCACTGGTGCCAATCACACAAGTGTGTTTCTGACTGTCATTGTTGATCATGAATTTGGTTGACACTTCTATTATAGAGAAAGGGTGCATAGTGATATTAAAATATTTCTTCTAATTAATTTCCTTTAAATATGCACAAATTTGTGCACCAGGCCTCTAGTAAGATTATAATGGAGCTGAAAAAGTCCTATGGCCTAGTGACATTGCAGCCTTCCTGAGATGTTAATGCCCTGTGTTACTGTTTTGTGCAGGTCTAGGTCTTTGGATAGTAAAGTCATCTGCTAAAAATGCCTGGGGCACCTGGGCCCCAGTGAGCCTCCCACAGACATCTCCCTTTTCTAAACCAAAGTTAAACTGGACCTGACTCTTGTGGTTCTTATTATTATTATTTGAAGATGCCTTCAGTGATAACCATTAGAAAACTTTGAAGACAAAATGAATTTATTATAGGCCCTGAAGCATACAAAGCACACCAGAGGGCACCCAGTCAGGAGAGAGAGCTGAATGAGTCAGCTGGAGTCAACATAGGCCTGGAGTTCTGCTTTCATTGGGTTTCAGATTGGAGGCCTAGGGTTTTCACTGATGAGGAAAAAAAAAGGGGGGGGGGATTTAAAATGTGGGAAGAGAAAATAAACAAATAACCCAAAAAGTCAGTTATTGAAATTAAGTTTTCCAAAACAGAGGGGCCTCAATGGGGACAGGTAACTGACTCTACTTTTTCCTATGACTGGCACTGGGTTTATTCCAAATAGCCTCATTGAAGTGAATATCTGTGCAGTCAAAGCTCTGTCAGGCACTTGCATTACAAAAAGAAATGTCAACTACCAAGGTGTAGGCTTCAATTACTCAGCATTTTTCGTGGTGAAGTTGCTGTGAACAATCCTACTTTTCTCTGAGTCCTATAAAAGTAGAGCACATGCAATTACAGTGGGGTATATACCACCTAGGTTTGTGTTAGTGCACTTTATAAAGTTCACATAAAGACAAAATCGCCAATGACACACTTCTCTGAGGGTATCCTTGTCGTTAAACTGACCTTAAACAGCAGATGACCATATATGAATATGTATTGATATATGAGGGACATAGCACAGTAATGAAGTAATCAATATTATCTTTGAGGTCAGCTTGTCAAAAGGGGTCAAAAATAACATAGTACTGATAACATTTAAAATGCCCAAGAAAAATAATCATGAAAACTTTTGCTCAGAGAATGCATATTACTTTCAAATAAAAGCAATCCCCTCCACAAAAAACAAAGGAGGTCAGCAGAAAACCCAAGGAATTTTATGCAAGGTCACCCAAGGGTTGGATGCCTACCCAGTTGTCACTCCTAGACAAAGGCAAGCAAAAAGCATTTTCAGGTCCTCAAAGCCTCAGAAATGTTACCAGTTTAGTAACTGGTGAATGTGCACCAGCACACTGTAAGCTGACTCAGAGGAGCAAATTTTGAATAGGAATTTGAAGAGATCTGGAAATAATTACAGGGCAGGGAAAAAGTAGGGTTACAATTATATGTGAAACACAGTTTATTCTTGTATTATTAATTATTCATTGTTGTATTATTTTCAGTAAACCCGCTTTTGCCCCAACTTGTATTGAAACAGGTAAGTAAAATTTAAAATAACAAGTCATTGAGAAACTAAGTAATAATCCTGAGAAGTCTGATTCTTGTGTGTAAGCGATTGTTAGTTTAAATGAGCAGTAACTAGGAGAAGAGAGAAACTTTAATTAAAATGGAGTAAAACCATGTCTCCTATAAGAGCACATCTTTTCTAAGGATAAGACTTTACATCAGAATGATCACCTCTGAAACCTTGCCCCAGGTAAGTGAGTTGAGAAAAGAAAATGAATTGTGGTTAGTCCCTGAAAACAGATTGATTGGGTCACACAAAAGTAGGTAGGATAACACAAAGTTAAATAGAGGATTCATGATTAATCATTGAATGGCAATTTGGCAGTATATGTGGAAATTTTTGAAAATGTGTTTATTGGAGTTAGGTTTGTCAAATTTACTCAATTTAGAATTATCATTATCTGCCTGTTGACACACCTTTGCTTTAGTTTGATTCAGAGATGAAAAGGTGAAAAATAGAAATTAACTTAAATGTTAAACATTCAAGGTTGTGAAAAAGTAGATGTAATTTTATAGAACACTGTTATACACAATATCAAGAATGAGGAAGTGTTTTGGACCAGGTAGATTATTTAAAAAAATTCGTGTTGCATTGTACACTCCAAGTTATTAAAGTTTGAGTAAAATAAATAGAATAATAAAGAAACAAAATATTTAAAATAACTGAAAATATTTCACATGAGCTGAAACTACTTGAAGAGAAGAGTCAGAAAAAAATGACAGTGATCTGCAAATATCTAAGACTTCCTTGTAGTTGGAGAATTAAAGTGACATTGAATAGCCCTAAGGGTTAAATTTAAAACAATGGTTAGAAGCTACAGAACAAGCTACTTCACGTAAGTAAAAACATTATAAAACTAGTACTGCCCAGAAATAGAATAGGCTGCTTAGGGAGATTAGTATATTTAATGATGCTCAAACTGTTCAAATGAATGCTATAATTTGTAAAAAAGATCCAATAATGGCATGCATTGCTGTTCCAGGTTTCAGAGGTCCCAAACAGCCCTCACATTTTGTAATTACCTAATGTGAGCAGGGTTTTTTATGGTTATGAAAATGTAGATATGATAAAAACTTCTGATTTAGAATAGCCAAAATGCATCTTCTAGTCCTCTTTGTGATGGTCATCTATAATATAAGCATTAGCCATACTAGATATATTGAGTTATTGTCCAATAAATCACTTTTGTTTAAAATTGCATCTGTTTATAGCTTCCTCAGTGATCCCCACAGTGCCTTTGGCATAGCAGGCATTTCATAATGCTAGGGCAGTGGCTGGCAAACTCATTAGTCAACAGAGCCAAATATCAACAGTACGATTAAATTTCTTTTGAGAGCCAATTTTTTTTAAACTTAAACTGCTTCTAACACCACTTCTTCAAAATAGACTTGCCCAGGCCATGGTATTTTGTGGAAGAGCCACATTCAAGGGCCCAAAGAGCCACATGTGGCTTGCGAGCCACAGTTTGTTGACCACGGTGCTAGGGGAATTGAATCCTCAATGCCTTTGTTAGTACCCCCTGGCCTATGAAAATGGCTTTGAGTCATCAACATTTTCAAATTTCTCTGCCAGTTTTTGACTATCCAATCAGCTGTGCTAGGAATTATATTCATTAATAGATTATGGAAATTTGCTGTTTTTCTTTGTTACTCATCATTCATTTTCATTTCCTTTTAATAAGTCACTCTGAATTTCATTCAAATATTCACTGCTCATCTATGCAGACCTATATCTTTGGAAAAATACTTCTCACCTATAAGTCTAGGTAAAGGTGCCATTTGACTAAAACCAGTCAACGTATATCAAATTCCTGGCCACAGTGGTTCATTCAGTTGTGGACTGAAGGCCCAAATTGAGAGGACTGAGTAGATATTCTCTGGGGGATTATAAAAGAAAATAGATGTTATAAATATCTGGTGTTTTCAACTTGTAAAAGAATTCCTGGCTCTGAGAGAAAAGGTATTATAAATGGACATAGCAGAGCCGAGAGAACAATGGGCAAATTAAGTCTCAGCAATAATACTGCAAACCTCTATCAGGGGTCCTCAAACTTTTTAAAGTGGGGGCCAGATCACGGTCCCTCAGAGAGCTGGAGGGCTGGACTATATGAACTACTAATTCCTACTGTAACACCTCGGCTGCGCTCACTGCCCAAAAAACCTGGCAGGCCGGATCAGACTCCTCTGCGGGCCGCATGTGGCCCGCGGGCCGTAGTTTGAAGATGCCTGCAAGGCCATTTGTTTTGGGGATTGTGTTATGAAACAACCAGAAGCATTCTAACCAATAGCAAGATTCAAACATATCCAGAGTGAATTGACTATACTTGAAATAACTTTTCCTTTTTATTAATCTCAATTCCGTTTTTCCCGCACAACCACTTCTGAATAACCTTTCCTTGTTTCATTCATAAGTATTTCCTAAGCAAGTCAACTTTTTGGGTCTCCATAACTTTTCTTCAACATATTTCCCCTACTTACTGTTTTTTATTACTTTGTAAAATCTAATATTTTTTCAATCCTTGTCTTCCCCCTAGGTGTCTTTATTGCATAATCAGTTAAATATAAAATATAAGGACCCTGGCATGTTTGGCTCAGTGGATAAAGCATCTACCCACATACCAAAAGGTCCCGGATTCAATTCCAGACAAGGTCACATATCTCAGTTGTGGGAAGCAACTAGTTGATGTTTGTCTCTCCCTGTCTCTCCCCGTCTCCTTCCACTCTCTCTAAAAATCAATGGAAAAATATCCTCGAGTGAGGATTAACAACAACAAAATCTTAGTAATATACTGATTGTAACTCTTTTTAGCATTACATTATTTATTTATATTTCTGCCGTTTTGGGATTTGGGGAAATTATAATTTAGTGTATGATCCCTAAACTCAACTGAGTATATAGTAAATTATGAATAAATGAATGTGCTCTACTTTTTAATCTTAAAAAAGAGAAGTATTAGATTTACCACAGTAACTTCATATTTACAAAATAAGTTTTACTTTTGACAGCAGTATTCAAATTTTTTAACTTATTCCCCACCTATAAAGGCATTTTTTATTTTTTTTAATAAGGCATAGGACTTTGTCGGTGACATTGTATGATAAACACATTAAAAAAAAAAAAAAAAAAAAAAGGAGAGACACTTCCCAAAGAAATTTAATGTAAAAAAAAGTGCAAGTATTTTGTGTACATGCATGAGCATCTCAAGAATATAATTGCTTTTAACTTCAGGAACGTTGGGATGTATAAACATTTTACAAATCTGATCTCTAAAAGCCATAATTTGAATAATATGTGCTTTAATGCAATAACAAAACATGAATTTGTTCAGTTTCTCATATATCATGTTTATTAAACATTTCAGTGTCAATAATTTCTTAAAACTGCAACATTGAACCTTGTAATGGAGCTAATGTTGATTCTACTCATGAGAGTTTGGACTTTTGAACAACTTTAAGTGAAATGAGTGTCCGTCTTTTTAGTTTGTGCTTGGAGCGAAGACAAAGAAGCATCAACTCATTCTTTCCAACTAATAAAACATCTAATGGTGAAATTTATGGCATTATTTTTTGCTAATAGTATAATGTAAAATATTTTTTGCTTCTGTTTGATACCAAAAATCAACATGCCATCTCTGAACATTAACAATTTTCACTTATTTTAGATCTTACATATTGAATATTTAACTTGGGCTCCAGGAAAAACATCCTGAAAAGTAAGATGAGCATTTAACATCTTTCTCCAGCCCTTAAACATAAATTTTCAATTTGCTATGACTTATCATGGAATCTGTTTCAGGAAGTATAGGTTTATAATATAACTTTTTAGAAATAAAAAAATAATTGCCTCTGCATCAAAAAGGGGATTCAGATCATGAAGTTCTGAAGGAGCATGTGCTTTGACTGTTCTTCCCACCTGTTTCTTCTTTTGTTATAAAGTGGCAATTTATACTATCATTAGAAATATACATTTATATATAAAGTTTTACATTCAAATCTCTTTATTTTTTTTATCACCTATAACTAAATACCACAAATCAAATAAAAATTCTATATAAGTTCTTATTTCAGAAGCATTTGTATATATACACATATATATTTGTAGAACAATCCACTGTTTTAATTGTGATTCTGATTTTTAAAAAACGCTATTTACAATCTCAGCTTTTTATGATATTACAATGAGCAGGGAAGTTTTTTTTTATACTTGAATGTATTTCACCTTGTGCAGATGAAATGAAACAACTTCATGGAAACCTTTCTTGGAGCAAGGCCTGGTACATTAAGCTATAAAGGTGCAATAGATTTGTTATTTCTGGATCTATGTTTAAAAAAAAATTACTGTTGATGTAGTCATGCTTCTTCACCAAGAAATCAGGGACCATAAGTTAGGACCTTCAAACTTTTCAATACATGTTAAGCCATTTTGATCCTTTGACTTTGTCTTAATACTCTCATCTCTTGCTAGAGGCACCACAACATCACCCATTTATAAATAATACCTATCTTCAGTATTGTCATTGTCTTCAACACAGTTTTCAAAAAACCTATCTGGGTTATAAGGAGGTCCATAAAGTGTCACAATGTGCATCAGTTGGCATCGCTTTATTGGGCCAAGTCTTTGTGGCAAAAAATGTGCTATAAAATTAATATGTAAAATTCGAACCAAACTATTACTTCGATCAAGAATAGGTTTGCTTGCTGTCCTCCAGTTTCCAGAGACACAAAACTTTTTGAATTAGCAAATGGAACTAAAGCACCATTTTTGTTTCAAGACCTCAAACTTCTAGCTTAACAAGCAAGTTGGGTATATTGACCAGAAAACTATTTTGTGAGAGTCTCCAAAGTTTTGTTCTCATTCTTAAGCCCAGTGATTTTAAAACATTTTGTAATGACTCTCAGGCTAAACATGTCTTATTATGTAGTACAGAGCCAATAACAAAGCTTTGTTAGAAGTCATATTTCTCCTGAGATTTAATTTTTTAAACAGCTTACTTCACTTATAGGAGAATAATTGAGGGATGAATTGAGACCCAGAAATTGGGATAATGAATATATCAAAGTAAATATTTTTTTTTACTTGAACAAATCTGAAAATAAACTATTTAAACTGGCTCATATTTTTGGAGAAAACCAGATAATTATTTTACATTTGCTAATTTAAAAAACAACAAAAAACCTAGACTGTGAATACTGATGTTTTCTATGACTAGTTTTCGGTGCTCACAAAGGAAGCAGTAATTAAGCAAATGTTCACCTGTGCTCTAAACACAGTCAGGTTCATGTGATAATGTAATATGTTTCTAACTTATTCTCTGAACGTAACTGTAACTACGACAAAGCTAACATACAAAACATTTTACTGTGATGAACATTTGCTTAAATGATATAGAGGGGAAAAAATTTACAGAAGTTGTTGAGTTAGAACTCTGCTTCTTAACTGCTGCCAGGAAGGAAACAAATGACTCTAGATACCAAACAAGCAGCCACTGAAAACAGGGAATTCTATTGGAGATTCAGATCTCTCATATTTTTCATAATATTTAACTGGATTAAATGTATTCTGTCATGAAGTCCTCTGAGTAATTGATAGCACTTTGTGAAAATGGTGTTACTGATGAGTTTGTGGTGAGTGTATACATGCATGTGGCCCTACCCCACAGATAATTTCATGTTAAATGAGCCTGTGACCCATTTTGTAGAAGCCTCTTTTTTATGTCTTTAAAGAAAATAAGGCTTTGTGCTTGGGATTGGTTTGGTCCTGAAAGTGACAGGTGCATTTATTATCAAGTTGAATAAAGAGTGACAAGGAGAAATACAACCAGGTGTTTTTTTTTGGGTGTGTGTGTGTGTGTGTGTGTGTGTGTTTAACAAGGGCATTCTTTTTCAACATTTCCCTTTTTTTTCTTTAATTTCAATGTCTTTATTTGTTACTTTCTAAATATTTTGGATAAATGAATATTTCTTGCAAATTTGTGCTCAAAATCCTTGCCTAGATACTTAACTTCCATTCTTTGCAATTGATTAGGCAAAATCTTCCTTTTTGTTTTCTGCTAATCTCCTGATAACATTAATAGAATACTTGGTGAAGTATAGGAATCACTATTGGAGAATAATGATTGTGTAGAGTGAGAGAAGCTGTAGTGACCTTGAGCATCTTCAAAGAGTATACATTTTAGGGAGTAATATTTTGAGCAATACATGCCAGACAGTAGAATTATAGGAGAAGTAACATGCTGTCTTCAATAATATCCATAAATCAGCATACATTTTTTTAAACATTCTGTTTTATTTTATTTTAATTTGGATGTCTCTACACCATTCCTGATTTGTAGGACTAAGTAGATCTAGTTTTTCCAAGGCAATTGAATAATGTTAATTTCTTTCCTAATATTTTCTAATACTTTAGTTTTCCTAACTATGCATTTGCCTTACACTGAGTTTTATTTATTTATTTTTACTACTTTAAGCTTCTCATACAAACCTGTCTGTTGAAACCATAGCTGTCAATTCCGTATTTTTTCTCTAAACCCCTGAAAGTCTATTACAAGTCCCCAAGGAAACACACTTATTGTCACCTAGACTTATAAACAAGGATATGTATCCATCTGCTTCATAAAATAGTAAGTTTGGAATTTCACAGCCATGCCTCCCAACATCATGGCAGAGTTTGGAAAATGCTGTATACATAAAACTCTGGTAAGTTACAAAGGCAGATATAATTTGCTTTGACCAATTTTCTAGAATGTATTTTCTTATGTAAAACTCCTCTTTCTTCTTTCCTGTTGCAATAGATGATACAAATTCTCTCTAAGACAACTAGACATGCACCTATACTCTCAAAGTTGTCCACAAAATAAAAAATCTGACCAAACAGTAAGAGCATGTAAGTTGTACATCATTGCCCAGGAATGGTTATAACAAATACTTCTAAAAAATGAATTCATTCTCAGAAAAAAAAATCTAAATTACTAAAAAAATGATTAATATCTTGGATAAAAATATGGCATTCTCTTAAGAGAACCTGAAACTCTTTTTAGTAAGGAATTCAATTTGTTAATACCATTAGATTAAACATAAGACCATCCTTTGTCTAAAACAGTCTTAAATAATAACTTCAAAAATAAATTTTTAAATTTTTCTTGATGTGAAGTGATTCCTTATTATATATCTTCAGGGCATTAAAAATCTATAAGTAAATGTTCAATATCATGGTTTAAAAACATCCTGAAAACAGGACTCAATAATGTGTTAATTTCAGATACCCAAAGAAAATACAAAATTAAAACAAAGCACTCATCATAGCATTACCCAGAACTTAAGCTATTTAGGATATTACATCAATTTGTAAGTTCAGTTCTACAAAGCCCTTTTCTTTAAGGTAATAACTTTATTTCATCTTTATTACAGTTATGTCTTCATTACAATTAGCCCTCTAGTAATAAATGCACAATTTACTTTAATGTTTGTGGAGTCTTGATTTATTTTCCTCTCGCTTATACGTGTGCTAATCTTTGTGCATGTGCATTTTCTACCACACTGCAACAGGAAAGCTTTGGTTCAATTTTCCTGTCCTACACAAAGGAAGATTTTGGGAGCCACCAGGTCCTGCGTTGCCATTTTATTTTTCTCTCCTTGGGTGGGTTTATTGGAAGAAAATGGGCAAAGGAGTGGGGGAAAGGGAAGGGATGAAAGAGGGATAAAGGGAAGAGTTCTCAGCTATGTTGAATCTTGATTCACAACTTTGCCTCCATTCATGGTTGGTGTTCCAGAACTTTTCCTCGAACGCCCTTGTTTTTCTCCAATTTCATGTAGCGATGGCTCCCTGTACATACACACTGGAAAGCAAAATGGCAATAATTGTTATAATTGTAGGCATCAGTTTAGCCTCTATAAAATTTCAAATTATAGTTTATTATTCTCAATTCTCATCACGAGCTCTTCTCCCCACTGTAAAAACAAGTTTTAACTGGGTAATATATTTAATGAATATACGTGATCCTCTTCCAGTTCTATCAGTACAACCTCTTAAGTCTTCTTCAACCACAGATATATGAGTGGTTCCAGTTCCCTTATAGATAAGGCTTCAGTCCTTACTTCAGTCCCTACTAACCTACACTACAGGATTTTCATGTAGAGTTAGAGAAGACATTAAGGGTATAACATTTAATGAATAGAAAACTATATTCTGTTACTTAGCCCTCAGTCTTCAATTTAGTTGGGGTAGAAAAAAAAATCCTTATATACAAGTTTCTAATCTTACCCCACTGTAAAAATAGGACACTGTTGTGGTAAATTGAAATAATTATTGACCTTTTTCAGAATATCCTACATAAGAAATGATAATGGGAGAGAAGTCAGAATAAAAGGAAAATAACACTTTCCCTCCCTCCCCCAAAATTTTCCCAAGGACTCCAGATTTCCTTCACCAAAGATAATGCTGGAAAAGTGATTATGCAACCATGTGATTTCAGTTCACATCTATATAAACTGTTCATTTTCCCCTCCATTGTTCTGACTGTCTCTAAAGCTCATTCATATGTAAATTATCATGGCCCTTGCTAGATTATTGCACAGAAAGAACAGTGTTTTATGTCATACTTATTCTCATAAAATATGATCAGCATATTGAACACATTTAATAGGATTCATTATATTGTTGTGAAATAGATATGTGGCTGTAGAAGAACATATGAAATATTTCACTTAAGTATCTGGAGTTATTTTCAACTTTGACTTAGAAACAAACAGCTAAGTACCTCCACTTATTGAACCATCACTACAATGCCTAGCTAATTTGAATGGTATTTTTAATCAAATAACTTCTTCCCTTGGGCTTTACCTTGGTATTTGAGAGAGTATGGCTGTGATTGAATAGTTGTTGTGTGTGGATAAGAGGACCAATTGGGATCTACACTGCCTGGAGCCACATGATATTCAGCTACTTTCTATCTCTGTAAATTTAGGTACATTTTTATTCTGAAAAATAACATTTTTATTGTTGTTATTGGTGTTGTTGATGACAGCCATTCTAACAGGTGTGAGGTAAAAGGACAGTGGATAGAACTGGTGTATCTCATTGTAGTTTTGATTTGTGTTTTCCTAATAGCTACCCATGTATCTGTTGGCTGTTTGTATATCTTTTGGGAGAGGTGTCTGTTTAAGTCCTCTGTCCATTTTTAAAAATATATACTTTATTGATTTTTTACAGAGAGGAAAAGAGAGGGATAGAAAGTTAGAAACATCAATGAGAGAGAAACATCAATCAGCTGCCTCCTGCACACCCCCTACTGAGAATGTGCCCACAACCAAGGTACATGCCCTTGACCGGAATTGAACCTGGGACTTTCCAGTCCACAGGCCGATGCTCTATCCACTGAACCAAACTAGTTTTGGCTGTCCATTTTTTAATTGGACTGTTTGTTTGATATTGAGTTTTATGAGTTCTTTATACATTTTGGATACTAACCCTTTTTTGGATTTGTTGTTTATACCTATCATCTCCCATTCAGTCAGCTGCCTTATTATTTCTTTTGCACTATCTATAATAATAAAAGCCTAAGCAGCCATTGCAACCAAACGGATGACCAAACAGGCTGCTTGGGGCAAGTAGGCCAGCAGGGGGACTAGTGAGGGACAACCAAATGACTGAGCAGTAGGCTGCATAGGGCAACCAGGCCAGCAGGGGGGCAGTTGGCAGTGACCAGGCCAGCAGGGGTAGCAGTGAGGGGTGACAACACAACTGAGCAGCAGGCTGTGTGGGGCAACCAGGCCCACGGGGGTGAGGGGACAGTTGGGTGTGACCAGGCCAGCAGGGGGGGCAGTGAAGGGTGATCAGGCTATGGGGGGGGGGGAAGTTGGGGGTCACCAGGCCAGCAGGGAGGCACTAAGGAGCGACCAGACTATGGGGGCAGTTAGGGGCAACCAGGCTGGGGGGGGGGCAGTTGGCGGCAACCAGGCCAGCTGGGGGAGCACTAAGGGGTGACCAGGCTGGCCGGGGGGGTGGGCAGCTATGGGTGATTAGGCTGGCAGGGGTGCGAAGTTAGGGGTGATCAGTCAGGCAGGCAGGTGAACATTTAGGAGCCCATGGGCCTGGATTGTGAGAGGGTGCAGGCTGAGGGGTTCAGATTGGAGAGGATATAGGCTGGACTGAGGGGACCCTCCCACTGTGCATGAATTTTGTGCACTGAGCCTCTAGTCTATTTATTAGAAGGCTAAGTCACCGTCGGACAATCCAACTGGTAACTCTGACATGTAATGACCATCAGGGGGCAGATGCTCCAATTGGTAGCTATGATACACACTGACCATCAGGGGGAAGACACTCAATTCAGGAGTTGCTGAGCTGTGGTGACTTGGCAGTGATGGTTCTTGGGTGACACTTCCAGAACCAAAGAGGAGGGAGCCTGATTCCGATGTGAATAACCTGAGAACCACCCTCTCACAATCTGAGACTCGCCAGGGTATGTTGGAGAGTCAGTTTTGGCCCTATTCTCACAGGCCAGGCCAAAGGAACCCACCTGCCAGAGGGACCCCCACTGACTCTGCAGATGCCCTTTGAGCCGTGGTGCAACTCCAGGTGTGGCTGGCCGAGGAGTGACTGCAGGAGTTTGGCTCCAGGACGTGTTCTGCCATTTCACCCAGTCCCGCCCCACTGGCCACCTTCTAATTAATTTCCTTTCAGTATGCACCAGGGCACTGGTGTCTGTATATTGCTTTAGGTAATATGGACATTTTAACAATGTTGATTCTTCCAATCCATCAACTTGGATTATCTTTCCATTTCTTTGTATCTTCTTCAATTTCTTTCAGAAATGTATTGTTTTAATATAGGCCCTTCACATCCTTTATTAAGTTTATTCCTAGATATTTTATTATTTTTGTTGCACCTGCAAATGAAATTTTTTTCATTAATTTTTCTAAAATGTCATTGTTAGTATATAGGGACACAATATGTTTTTGTATATTGATTTTAAACTCTGCAACATTGGTGTATTTGTTTATTAAGATAATACAACTCGATCAAGTTTGGCTTATTTAGGGTATAAGGATATATAAAACATAAATATGTAAGTTGATCAATATGGTACACCATATTAACAAAATAAAGGATAAAAATCATATGATCATACATATGTATTTTTAAATGCAATTTTAAAATATTTCAATTACTGAACTGGGTGGGTCCTCAAATATCCCTAAAGAACCATCTTTGGCCTAACCTAAGTAGCAGAGAGTAAAGAGAAAACTAACTCAGAAAGAACTGATCCTGTAATTTTAAGATAGTGTCAGTGGTAATTAAATTTTTTGTCTTTCTTTTACAAAAGAAATATTCTTATGGAAGATTCTACTGAAATTTTAAAGTTTCTTACCTGTAATTATCTTATGAATAGTGTCAAAATCTCTAAAATTAAAACATATTTATATGTGCTAAATATAGCCATTTATTTATAATTGGTTAGGGCATAGGGGAAATTGGAAGAAGTGATAAAGTGATTTAGTTGGAAAGTTACTCATATGATGCCATGAAGCAGGTTTTTTTCAGTACTCTGTCACCTATTTGGCTGTAAGGACACATATCCACAGGCTTATTTAAGTACGTTTTAAATCCAAAATATAAACCAAAATCACTATGATGTACTCAATAACCACAATGATAATCTCTAAAGAATAACTTTAATCCCTTTAATATATCTATTATTTAAAAGTTTCAAAGCCTTTAAATTGATTAATCCATTTGATGATTATAATAAGCCTGTGAGAAATTTTTATTACTGATTTTGTGAGTAGTGGCAAAGACAATGAGAATATCGGGTTTCAAATGCCTAATTGGGAGATTTTAATAAAAGCTATTTATCAAATAAATGTACAAATGATTGTTTTATATCAGACAATGTTATTATAGCTATATATCAATCAATATCCAACTTGGTGTTATGTCTACTATTACTCATGTCATACAAAAATGCCAATAAAAACAAATGCAGGATGACTATTGTAAAAACTAAAAACAAAAAACAAAAACAAACAGAAAATAAGTGTTGGCAAATATGTGAAAAAACTGGAACCTTTCTACATTGTGGGTAGGAATATAAAATGCTCAGCCATTGTGGGAAACAATATGGTGATTATTCAAAAAATTAAACATAGAATTACCATGTGATCCAAAAATTCTACTTCTGCATATATATGAAAAACGAATGAAAAGTAGAGACATGCACAGATATTTGCATAACCCTGCTCATAGCAGCATTACTTACAATAGCCAAAAAATGCAATCAGCCAAAACATTCATCAATGAATGAATCAGTAAACAAAATATGACGTATACATACAGTGAAAAACTGTATAGCCATAAAGGCAATTCTGACACAAGCATGAATGAACCTTGAGGACATTAAACTAAGTGAAATAAACTAGATACAAAACAACAAATAATTTATAATTCTATTTAAGTGAGATACCTACAGTGTACTTAAATTCATAGAAACAGAAAGTAGAATGATGTGGCTGGGGGGTGGAAGAAGGGAGAATGAGAAGTTAATATTTAATGGGTACAGAGTTTCAGTTAGGGGCAATCAGGCTGGCAAGGGAGTAGTTAGATTTGATCAGGCTGGCAGGGAAGTGGTTGGGAGCCCACAGTCCCAGATTTGAGAGGGAGCAGGCTGGGCTGAGGGACATCCCTCCCCCTCATGAACAAATTTCATGCACCGGGCCTCAAGTTAAATATAATTTTAAAAAATCACCCACAGTTTAAAAATAATTCTCTGAGTAAGTTTTAAACAAATAAGTGATTATTAAAGCTAGGGATGTCCTATTTGCCCGCGAAAAGCCAACA